TCAGACTAGTTGCTTGTGTTACATTTTGAGGGATATGCCTCTCATTTATAGTCTTCAAAGGCCTTGCTTGATTTCCTGGTGTGATCTTTGCCCCTTCTTCGTAACGGATGTGTCTATTTCGCAATCACCGTGGATAGAGTTGAGGGGGTTGTGACTCTCTTTCTTGAATGCAAGACCGTTGCGATTTATGCGTAGCACCCTGGTTGGGGGGGGGGGTGACTTGAGCATCTCTGGTTGCTCGTCATGAGCTACGTGATTCAAACTCAGATGGCCGAGCTGGAAGACCGTGCTCAACCTTAACCAAAATTTGAGTATCATCAAGAATAAAAAAGAATTCATCAATATCCAAGTAGAGATACGATAAATACTAAGTGATCAATCAATATCTAAGTTGCGTGGATACACATAGATGATAATATTTATGTGATATTGATCTTTATCGTATGTATTACTCACCCTATACATAGGTTGAGCTCCCATGTAATCAAGTCTTGAATAATAATACATGTACATCCACATACCAAATATCATATGGGTTGTGGCTCAAACCCTATTTATAAGGTGAGCAGCACATAACATAAAATTTACTGGTCAAATCTATAATTTCAAGAAAAAATTGAGGGTATTTGTATAATTTCAAAGGTGAGGTGTTGTGCTGAGACGTGTGGTTAGGTCAGATGGATTGGTTATTAGGTAAATGGGCCTTCGATCCTTTTCTCTAATGGAAACAAGGGGTTAAATCAAGGTTTGGGAAAAAAGAATTGAAGATCCACAAGTAAGACTTCTTCTTCACCATCAAAAGGCACTGTAGCAGTTGTGTCACTGTAGCCACGATGTCGCTGTAGCATCAACAGGCTGATGATGACGACAATCAACAACAACAATGAATGAGATTAATAGTAACAGAAAGATTGGATCTGATATTAATTCTGATACCAACTGATGCAAAGAGGGAATGAAAAGAAAAGGAATAAGCAATACACATGCTGAAACAGTTTGCTTAGTAGCCGGAATTTTAATTTTGTGCTGAAACAGTGGGATTTTGAACTTAACATCTAAAAGATGAAATTTGTCTTAGAAGCCAAAAGGACACTGAAATTCTTTTCTAGAAGCTGCGGAATTGATATTAGTTGCTGAAATCTTGGGTAGAAGCTAAAAGTGCTCATTCTAGTTGGTAGAACTTCCCTTCAGAAGCTGAAACAGCTTCCTTAGTTGCTGAATCTAGAGTTTAGAGACTGGAACACTAAGCCAAGTTTATTTTACTGTTGCTTGCTAAAAATTCTTGTCTTCTTGTTGAAATGTTGTGTCAATGCGCTGAAAATAGTTACAATATCTTAAAGAGTGTCATTATGTGCTGGAAATTTTTTAAACCACCTAAAATTTTAGTCTGTACGTTGGAAATAAAATCTTGAATAACCTATATGACCTTTAAATTATGACTCTTGTGTCAATTAAACTCTTAATTTTTTTTGTTTGTCAATTGATTTCCTGAACTTACTAATTGTAGCAATTGTCTCTTACGTTTGCATCTGTTAGATTTTCTAACAGAAAGTAGTAGAGTGTGCTACTCACATAATCAGATTGCAACTCATTTATGTAATGTGAGTGACATACTTTGTCATTTTTCTGTTAGTAAATCTAATGGATGCAGACATAAGGGTTAGAGTTTGTAGGCCATATATTTAATTTACTCTAAAATCTTAGGTAAAGAATCAATTCTTGATAAAACTATTCTAATCGTTTCTATGATTTTAAAACTAAGAATCAGTAGTGTGTTATAGTCGATTAGGATATTCACATTTGCTTCAAATCGCAGTTTCAAGATCCTCTCATCTAAAACTTATTCTAAACGCATTTCTCTTACTTGACTAAACATATTTAAAGATAGAAAAGAGGTTAAGAAATGTCCAATTAGGATATTCATATTCGCTTCAAATCGCAGTTTCTAGATGCATTTCTATCACTTGAGACTCAATCTAATTAAATAAGAAAAAGGGGTTACGAAATGTCTTAATTAAGCTTACGTATAAACTAGTGTATGTACTATTGCATTCTTGGGGGAGTGTAGTTGCTAGATACTCATGTGTACCATGCCTTGCATTGTTTACAAGTTAGTTGTGCTCACCCCTTTTCTTTATATTTTTTTAGATTTTGGTATCGAATAGACTTAGGTGAGAGTGCTCATTGGGATTATGAAGCGGCTTAGAATGTAGATCCGAATTTCAGAGTTTATAAATTGATTTTCTAGTTTAGTTTGATTCTTTAATTGATCCAATTAAGTAGACAGTTGAATTAGCAAGAATTCAACACACTGAAATGCATTTGGTGCACAACATCACAATCATAATCCACATCCAATCAATCCCCATAGGGCTTTAGGATGGACCAATATTAATGCATCAATACTTATCCAATTCTCTCTAGAAGTAATATACTAACCTTTTGCCTGAGCCAACGTGAATGGATAATGGAACCTCGTAAGGAATCAAACACATCTATTATAAGTGATAGAGAACCTTCAATCCCCTTGATGGAAGAAACGCATTTAAATACTCTGTGATATATGTTCGAGTGCATTCAAGTTCATCAAACCCACCAATACAAGAGATTTAAATCATGCTTTCAAAACTAGATCAAGTAATGCAACAAACTGTAGTTTTCAGGATTCATAAAACAAGATTTCAATAAAAAAACATACATGAAATTGCAAAGAAACATTCTCAAATATTCATTATTCAAGATTTAGTGCTTATTAACTAAGAACACATAGAGGATGTAAATGCGATATTTTTTTCTATAAGCCTCTCCACTGGATACACCCACCAATGTATTGGATATATTCACTTAGATTCTCCACTGCAACGGATCTTCTAGGCCTCCAGTGATCTTCTCCGCTGTGATCCTCGGTATGCACACTTCCAATGGGTTGGTCTTTAACAAAGCAAGGTTTTTTTCTCGAAGGTGTGAAGTTGGATAGGAATTACAAGATGGTAACTTTTGGATTTGGGGATCTAGGATTGTTGTATGATCTCTAAGGTTTAAGAGACAAGAATTTAGCTCACAAAAGATATACCCTAGGTTGGGAAAGGCTCCTTCTATTTATAGCTCAGAAAAGGGTTAGTCTTGGAGGCCAAAAAAAGGCAAATTGGTGAATGACTGTTCGAGCAATGGGAGGGGGCAGTCAGGGGGTGATGGTCACTAGAATGAAAAATTAATTCCAAACTAACCTAGGAGAGCAAGACCGCTCGTGTGAACAAAAGACTGCTTGAATGACATTTGAGACCGCTCGAGCAGCCTCGAGGGCGACCCTTCTTATCCTCTGTTAATCTTTACCCTATTGTTTCCTAAGTCATTAAAAGACTACTTTAACAAAGGACAACGAGCAAAGAGTTGTCTCTACTATTTTTTAAGCTTAAAACCAAGCAAAAAAACTTGTTCTCTTAAATGCTAGAGGGCGTTGCTCAAGAGGGAGATGGCTCAAATCTATTTTTTCAAAACACATAAAAGGTTTAGAAAAATTTTTCTTTGAAGAACACTTGGGAGTCATATTCAAATTGTTAATAAGTCTTAGCATTGAATGTACTTCACTATTAATCCAATGGTTACAATTTATTGAGTTCCCACATTATATTCGTAATTATGTCCCAATAGTATTATTAAATTAAAATTTACTATCAGAATTGAGATTCAATTTTCAAATTTTACAAAGCAAATTAATATTTACAATATGATATGGAATTTAAATTTCATAAATACTATACAATTAAAAATTTAACATTATTAATGGCTTTGGAGTGATTATACCAGACAAAATTTCTGTTTTGTCCACTATTTGGCCGCAATAAAATTCTGACTCCGTTTCTGTTTGAGGGGCTACTATGTCACACCTTTGCCAAAGCTCAACATCTGATCATTCCCATCTATCCTTATTTATTTGGCAAAAAAAAAACACACAAACACACTCTTTATTACGAAGCAGAGACTTCACCTTAAGTAGTACGCCATTTGAGTTACTTCAAAAGCTTCGGCCTCATAGATTAGGGTCCACCGGTCTAGTGGAAGCAGAGATTTGGATAGACACGTTAGACCAATCCTTTTCAATAATGGATGTCGCTAAAAAATAAGAGAAAATTGTGAAAAAATAGACTATATACTGCTTATTTGTGAAAAAATATCTTAATGTACAATTTTTGTATAAATATTTTGCGAACAGATACACTTTGACCAATTTATGTTAGCAGCATTTATTTCCAAATGATCAAAATTTCATTTCCAAATGATCAAATACTTTCGTTTTCAAGGAGATCAAATCCAATCAATAATAAAATCAAAATTTTAATATTTTGAAGTGTTTCATAATATTTAGAGATATTTTGTAATATTTCAATTTATTTGCACAATTATTTAAAAATATTTCACAATATTTCAAAATACTTTAGTATCTTTAGATCAATGTTTTAGAAAAAATATTTTTAAAATTTTTTATTTTTTTTCATTTTATTTTCAAAACGGATTTAAACGTTTTCAAAATATGTTAAAAAATTTTCATTGAAACGAACTTTTGATCCTTGAGTTATGTTGATTGAGGGAAGCAAACTTGGTGTAAATACCAACATCATTTGTTGATCGTTACACCTACTGAAAAAATTATTTGGGAGAGGTTCACAACAATTCTTACGAAACTCCTCGTCGATACATTCATCCTGGTTCTTTTCAGTTGATTACGAAAATAAGTAATCAGAATGACATTTAGCCACTCTGTAGAATGAAATGAACTTCGTGACACTTATTATTCATATGTTACAACATTTGATACGAGTACTTTTTTGGGAGAGCACGAGAACTAGTCCCTCCGGTGAACAATCCAAAGGGACTTTCGGACTCTGTACATATTTCACCCCTTCAGCCCAATTCAACTGACATCCTCACTGAAAATAATATGAACATTTCCTTTTGACCAATGGTCTGTACAGATCAGACCCTTCTCTTGAATTGATGTATCAAGCTTCTCCAGGGGCTTGCGCTGATGGGGGAGATTCTGTGCCATAAGTCCACAAGTGCCTCAGCTCACCTCTCACCAAACCCAATATGACAGCAACCCCTGTAGTACAAAATAAAAAGGATGGAAAATTAAGGATAACACGGAAACATATTACTCCCACCCGAGACAATAGAATGCAGCATCATCCCAACATTGCTGGCACACAGACCATACCTAATGTACACGGAACAAGGTAGAGTAGAGCAGGTTGACCATGTCCATCCATTAGATAGAAGCCTAGATAAGTAAACATCAGGCCTGCAGTATGAAAAAACCTTCGTTAGTGACGTTTCTTCTAACACATCACCTCTGCAACCCACTCCCCTCCACACACAAAAAAACACTAGCTTTTTCAACCGTGAGTCCCCAAAATTAAAGTCAGGAAGAAACTCCACACATTGCACACATTTTCCTTAAGTGCAGCTAATCAGTTTAGAAAATCACATAAATATTATTAATACAAGTCCCTTTATTGGTAAAGTTAAAGTTATACCTGGGGCACCACTGAATTGTCTTCCAATTAAGCTAGGATGACAATGACTTGCTGGATAACAAATTCAAGCATTTGCAGAACCACTCAACACTTTTAATCAGGAAATGTCCAAAATAAATACTTCATTAGAGGAATTTAGTGCTTCACTCCATAAAGGTTCTGAAAACTTTCGCAAGGACTTGCAAGGGCAACTCTGTAAACAATGTGACTTTTCTAACGCATTGCATCAATAATTTCCCCAGGATTTGCAAATTCAGCCAAATTCTTAGGTTTAATTCTTATAGGTGAAGATAACATGGGATTTAGTTGCAAGAAAGGCTACGATAGAAAATATTCACATAGTTTCTTCTGTCCTCCAGTGTCATCTTCAAGTTGTGTTCCCAGTCAATTTGCTCCAATAGCATCATAAGGTCATATTAACAACCAGGGTGCTAACAAACAAAGCACATCTCGGTAAAAACAACATAAGCACTTCATCCAGTTTTCATCTCACTAATTCCACCAATGAGTATCATGAATATTGCACTGATTTTCCTATCATGAATAGCACATGCAGTTTGCCCGGGGATCTCTTATTGTTGTTCTGCCATATTTTACTTTGGCTTCTTGAGAGACTTTCACAAGGCCTCAGTTGCTGGATCTTTCTATACTGCTTTCTTCTTTTTTTTGGTCCTTCCATGATTCTCTAATGGTAAGTTTTGAAGCATCGTCCAGACCAAGTCATATCTCCTATCTCATCACATTCTTAACCCTTTCTTCTCACACCAGATTTCTCCCTTCTTTTCTTTTTCACCTGCCAAAGTACCAGAGTACTCACACTCTCTCTATCTTTGTTGTCTCAACTTTCAGTAACCATTCACTTCCTTCTCTCTCTGCACTCACCTTGTTTTTTCTGCACTTTCAATGCTCTCATCCCGATTTCATAAGTGTACACTCCATTAGATCTCGTAAGAACAACCAACTTTTGTTTCAGGCTCCATTAGATCAAACCCTCTCTTTTGACATACCAAAAATTCCAAAACAACCAAACATAAACATACTAAGTCTATTCCCATTGCATAGCAAATAAATTATCCTAATGCACACCTGTATCAATACCCTGTGTATCAACTTGACCCTCGTTGCAAATGACATTTGTTCCATACAACCAAATACAATAAATGATGGAACCTTTTATTTGGGAAAAACTTAGGTTGAAACAAATGGAACATCCATGGCTGTCACCAGCAAAAAAACAAAATCCATGGATGTTATTAGCAGAAAAAAAAAACATCCATGGGTGTTCGATTGGATTTTCCGGGAAGATTCTTTTTTTCTCACTGTTTTCTCCCTTTTCTCCCTTTCATTTCCCTTTTGGGACAAAGTGGGGCTACCCAAAAGGGATGATTAGTTGAAGTTTCCAATTTTTTCTGGTTGATTATTCAAAATGATCTGCTTAGTTTTTCATTTATATGTTTTATCCAAGTAACCCTAGACATTATAACAGTAGTAGTAGCAGTAGTAATGATAATAAAAATAATAACATAATAATAATAGTAATAAATTATGGCCAACTATTATCATATCATTTTTGTGACAGTATTACGGCAAAGTAGCACTAGACATAATCGTAGCGATAGTAGACAACTAGTGGTGGTAGTAGTAATAATACTGCAAATATAAATACGAACACGAATGTGAACACGAATATGAAGAAGAAGAAGAAGAAAATTTAGCCGTATGGAAGTGCCATCGGGTTTGAAGAGATGCATGCTGAATAGCACCCATAACTTGTAGTGCACTGCTATGAGATTACACTAACTGGATACAATTCTCTAACAATTAGACAGAATAGAGCCCTTCAGCAATCTCCATTGGTGGGTCACTTGGTTTTTGGTCTCAAGTATAAATGATAATAAAAATAATAAGAGAGTAATAATATAAATAATAATAATGAGTAAATTATGGCCCACTATTATCATCATTTTTGTGGCACACTCGTGGCAAAGTAGCACTAGACACAATAGTAGAGATAGCGGATAACTAGTGGTGGTGGTGGTAGTAGTAATAATATACAAATATGAAGAATAAGAAGATTTTGATGTTTGGAAGTGCCGACGGGTTTGGAGAGATAGCACACTGAATAGCATCCATTACTGTTAGTGCAGTGCAATGAGATTACACTAACTGGATACAATTGTCTAACGGGAAAAAAAAAATTATGAATAATTAAGCCCTCTGGCAATCTCTATTGGGGGACCCCTCTGTTTTAGATCTCAAGTGTAAATGATAATAAAACTAATAACATAACAATAACATAAATAATAATAGTAATAAGAACTAATTATGGCCCAATATTATCATTATTTTTGTTGCACACTTGTGGCAATAAACATAATAGTAGAGAGAGTAGACAAGAAGTGGTGGTGATAGTGGAAGTGGTGGTGGTGGTGGTAGTAATAAAAAAACGAATACGAATACGAAGAAGAAAATTTAGATGTTTGGAAGTTCCATCCATAACAGTTGGTGCACTGCAACGAGATTACACCTACTAGATACAATCCTTTAACAATTATACATAATTGAGCCCTCCGGCAATCTCCAGTGGCAGGCCCCTTGGTTTTTGTTCTTTTAAGTGTTTTCAGTTCATATGTGTGATGTAGATCGAAAAGAAATTGGATAATCATCAAGTTGAAGACTAACATTTATTTATTTTTATAATTTACTAGGTTGTTTGGTTAGCTAGTATTTATTTTATTACGATTTGTTGGATAAGAGTTTTATTAGCAGAATAATTTTATCTCGTTAGGAGATTTAGACAAAGATATAACAGGAAAGCAATATGAGAATTTGATTAAGAAATTATTATAGAATTTTAATAAAACAATTTTTGTTTTCATGGGAGATTTAGCTAAATATAGATGTAATCTCTACTATTGCATTAGAGAGAGTAATATTGATTAAATTGTTTCTTTGTGAAGAATTTGTGTTTCTTGATTTAATCCTTGTGAAGGTTCAATATCTCTTCTTCTTTTGCCATTTTCCGATTACTTCTTCCCGTATTGCATCAATTTGGTATATAGTGCCCAAACTTGAGCCACTATTGCATTAACTTCTTCTGTCTATTCTCAATGAACTGAAATCTAATCCGGGTTCCTTTTTGCACTTCATCTCCACTGCTTACTCATAGTAGCATTCAACAAAAAGTCCAAATCAATTGCCTGGCAAATCGCAATCACAACAGTTATGTTCCAGATTTAACCCAATTTGAGAAAAAAAAGGTCAAACATACTGAACTCTAATACTTCTAAGATTATATAAACACCCCTCAAAACATTTTAAAATTCTACAAACACCCCAAATTTTTTTTGCAATTCCATATTTGAACCCCTAAAATTTTTTAAATTATATAATTGGCCGCAAAAGTTTCTGAAATCACAATTTTTTACAATTATACAAACACCACAAAAATTAGAAGTTTTGAAAGTAGTTTCTTTACGTAGGGTTCCTACTTTTTCACCACCAATTCTTATACTTTCTTCATTACTATCCTTGTGTGGAACAAACTATGAAGGTTATGGAGAGTCAATGTATAGATTTCTCCCATTGTGATAGCTGATATTATCTCATTAAAGGGAGATCTAATTCCTATGCTGTCAAGATAAAAGATGTTCTTCGCCAACTGAGGTCGAATCCCTTGGAGTACTCTTGTCTCTTGGTACTATAACTCTTGTTTTTCAGCCGGGGAGAATTGATGGATATCAAAAATGAATTGGATAAACATCAACTTGAAGATTAAGATTAAATTATTTGTATTATTTACTAGGTTGTTTGGTTAGCTGGCATTTATCTTATTATGATTGTTTTGGACAGTGTTATATTAAAATAATAATTTTATCTCGTATGGGATCTGAACAAACTTTTAATAGTAGAGTAATTTGAGAGTTTGATAAAGAAATTATTATAGAATTTTAATAGAAGAGTAATTTTTTGTTTTGCAAGGAGACTTAACCTATAAATGTCGATATAATCCCTATTATTTCATTAGAGAGTGGGATATTCATAACATTGTTTCTCTGTGGAGAATTTGTGTTTCTTGACCTAATCCGTGTGAGGGTTCGATATCTCTTTTTTTTTTTTCTATTCTTGATTTCTTCTCCTTCCATCAGCGACAATCGCAACCCTTTCTTCATGAATACATGCTGCACCACCTTCCATCAGTGACAATCGCAGCCCTTTCTTCATGAAGAAAGTCATATTTGATAGGGAGTGCACGTATTCTTGGAGGAGAAATGGACAATGTCAAGCTATACCATGACATCACATGTTATTTAAAAGAAACTATAATATGGATGGCAGCACTGCATGTTCGAGAATGTGGGCTGGGGGGGTCCAACTGCAAGGGGACATTTCTATTGCTCGAAAACTAACGTTTAATTCGTTAGTTTAAACTTCTATTGTAATTCATTTAAGGTAACAGAAACAGAAATACTAGACTTTTTTTTATTAGCACAGACACCAAGAGGAGACAAGTCCCTCTTTCCCTTTCTCCCTTAATATAACAATAGCAATTGTTTAAGTTAAGTTTGACTATAGTTCATTATTCATATAAGCACCAATTTTATGGTAGACAAAAATCAGCCTCATATATATGCAAAAAACTACAGTGCCAAAAAATAACGAAGGAATACTAACCAAAACCATAGCCAATGGTCAACCAAAGGAAGTATCCACTCAGTAAGCCCTTCTTATTAATTTTGTCAAATCTACAATAAACAAATCCACA